CAGCGCCTCTTCGCCCAGGTGATTGACAGGCAGCGAAGCCCCGCCCCCAGAGGCGCCTGACGCTGAACCGCAGCCCCTTCTCATTTCCAGCCCCGCAGATCTCCATTTTCTTCTTTCCCCATATTCAAGAGCAGAAGAGTAAAGATTTGGAAAAATGAATGAAGAATACGACGTTATCGTCCTGGGCACCGGGCTCACGGTGAGAAAACACAAAACGCTGTGATACGCAGCTTGGAAGTGATTTGCAACCTGTTAACCGATGCAGTTAGCACTTGACAGTTCGGCTTTGAGATAACTGGGCCTCATAAGCAGGACTAACACTAAGTAGCTAGCTTAGCCGCTAACCGAGAGTGAGCAGCTGCATGTTAGGTAATGGAAACTGTAAGCGAAGTAGCTAGCCGTTAGCACTATGCTACCTGGAGCTGCTATCAGCCTGAAAAGATTAACGATACCAACTTACACGAGATAACTTCAACGTCCTAGGCTGTTTCTGTCGTTAGTAAGGATTCGGTTGACTCTGAATGCATTTGTCACTGTTACTCAGCCGGCTATTTGAAAGTTTAGCGCCAGTTGAGGCAGTTTTTTTTACAGTCAAGATAAGATTATATCGCGGATGATTAGTCCGCTAACGTTAGCCGACCTACATTCGGCTAACTAATTAGCCTGCTAACGACAGAGTTGCCACAGCTTCCTCGAATTAATCTTTTGTACGGGACGCTTAGTAACTAGATTATTGACTTCATTCCAGTCTGTGGACATTTTAGCAAATGTTTTTACCCATCTGATAAAAGTAGTTCGCATTTAAACTTGCTAACTAACTTAGGCTATCTTAAGTTTTCGTTTAGCGCCAGTCCGTGCTGTGGACTCGACAACCTGAACGGTAAAGTTAGGTCGTCTACATGCTCAATAAAGCAAACTAACTCCAGTCAACTAAGCCTCAACACTGTCAGTATTGAACGAAAAATTATTTGAGGAAAATAACGGATTATCCAGAATCGCTGCATTACTGTGAACCTTGTAACGACCACAGCCAGTCACCACTCGGGCAGTTAACGTGGAACTTGCAGTTGAACTTAATGCGTACTTTAACTTGCACAGTAAAAAGACCCCAAAAACCTGATCCAATACACACACAGTACAGTTTGAGCTATTCTCGTATGTGTAGGATTTGTTTACCCACAGACTATCTTAGTCTACATTCTCCGCGCTATAGCATCGGAGAGACTGTCAGGCCTCCTGACTAGTCTGGAGCTGTATGTCGCTGAAGCATGTCATGGAAATCCCGTGATGACTTTTAAGACTTCATTGTTGCTTCCTGTCAACTCTGAGGAGCTAAATTGATTGCATCTGTTGGCATATTCTTAGTCTGGGCAACCTCAGTGTACAGTTTAAATGCTGTCATTAAATGGCTCAACCTAGTCTAGTTAGCTTTCTGTGGAGTTACATTTACTTTGGACAGCAGAGTTGTGAAGTGCTACAAACTCGGAACAGGCTGGGGAAGATGGGTAAAATTTAGGGTGGGCGGAGTGTGTATTTAACTCAGACTAGGGTGTGGTTCTACCGAGACCAAGGAACCGAAAGTACTCCACAGACCCGCTTTACTGAGAACTGGTTGCCAGCCAGCCAAAACAGACATGCAGACCAAAAGGCTGAGGTGGCGTAGTGTAGCTTTACATGGCTGTAGTTCCTCATGCAAATCAATGACTTCACTTCTGTATAATTGCCGCCTTCCTCTTTTATACTACACACTAACAGTAACCCTGTTATCTGTTGGAACTCTCATAAGCCATTAATCAAAAGTGGTAAACTTACTGTGTACGTTATTTTATTGACATTAGCTTGTGCTACTCGGGGATTTCCACATACTGTGTTTCCAGTCTGTGAGGTAAATGCTTCATATGGAAAATGATGTTTTTTGCTCAAGATTGTATCACAAGAAAATGCAACTACAATAAAACTAAATTAGTTGCCTCTTAAGCTGTGTTTAAAAGTAATGTAAAGTTCTAGTTAGAAGTCAGTCCCTATTAGTACTACAGTGTGAGTTTTAAAAGATCAGTTTATTCTTCTCGTTGCTGTCGAATTTGAAAGAAGCTGATCAGTCAGGCCTTTGTTTTTATCCCTGCTTGCATTTTTGATGGATTGAGTGGCTGGGGGATGGGGTCCACTACTACCCATCTGTCCACTACTAATGACAAATTAGGGCTGTGGCTTGGCACAAGAAATAAAGTGTAACTAAGTGTAGTCTGATTCTCAATATGATGCTGTTGGTGATTATAAGTAATCAGCTTGTAGTCTGCAGACAAGACAAGTGAGTAGGGCAACATTCAGACTGCTCTGACAATCCTGCATCAATCAGTACATCAGTAATGACTAATGCAGACCAACCAGTGATTGTGGGGTGAAATTTGTAATAGATAAATCGACAAACAATGAAACAACAATAAAAAAGGTAAAAAAATAAATAAATAATGGAGTAGATGATGAACGGCTTTGCCTTTATATTAAGCATGATACAGTAGAGGCAATGATTTTACTCACAGAAATCTGTGCATTTTCTGGTTATGTCTGGCTATACGATAAACCAAATGATTGTTATGCTTGAGTAAATAAAAGACCCTGTTACTCCATCATGAAAAAAGTGGATAAGTAGTAGTACAATTATATATACCAAAGTATATGTTCTGAAAATGCTAATTCTTTTCATACTATTAGACTATCATTGCATTTTCCAGGAAGCATGCAGTTGCTGCTATCTTTGCCCCCAAACAAGAGGAGGAAATGGTGTTAAAGGAAAGGAAATGGACACAATACTTGTCATTACTCACAGTATAATGGATAGGGAAGGTCAGCTTGTGTAGCGGTTTGAGAATTTGCTGTTCAGGCGATTATAAAACAATCAGAAAAAAAACATACAAAATACTTCTGTGATACTTCATTAACCAAATATTGCAATAAGCTACTGTTATAAACACCAAATTCCTCTTCATCCAGCACATTCCATTCTAATTTTGTTTGGCTTGTAGAGCTTTGATTTGCAGGCCGCTGTGTGATGTAGACAGTGCAGTACAGTAGACAACAGTTTACTTTCATGTTGTATTGGTTAGTAGTTTTAGTTAGTTTCATTATCAATTGGTCCGCCAATCATAGTGTTTATACAATGTTATAAATAATAAAAAACGCCTATGGCACTTTTCCAAGCTGATGTCTTTAGATATGTTTTGTCCAACCAACATGACAAGTAGCCATTGATTTACTAAATTAATTTATCTTTCAGCTCTAAAATGTTCCACACATGAGAAACCATCAGAGACATAATTGTCTTTGCTTTGTTGAGCCCAGTGGATTAAAGTCCAACCTGACAGAGAGCCATAACTCTTGAGAGTGTGTTGGGAATTTTCACTGCAGCAAATTCAAAGCTTGTGTCACGATGTTGTAATTGTAATTTTTCTGTCATGTGATTGCATCTTGGCAAAGTCATCACTTCTGGCCTGTGTTGGACTTTGCTACTTCTCAGCCCCCTCCCTCTCTGATTTTTATGGGTCTTACGTGTTAAAAGATTGAACTATAACTTTGTTAGTGCTTTTAATGTTTTATATTGGCTGAACTTTCTACCTGACTGTTCACTGGATCAGTGTGTTTTCCCCTCCGTCAGCATGGCCACTACTATCTGGCTGAGGTAGTGATGACTAGGCTGCGTCCGGCTCTGTCAAAGCCTGCATTTATCTAGGCGGCAGCAGGTCGGCTTCAGTTGCACATCACCTCAAACAAGTGACAGAGACAGATCAGAACGGTTCTGTCTGCCTCAAAGATTTATGCTTGACAGCATGTCCTTTAAGTCAGTGGCATTGCAAGATCATACAGTAGGTGAGACATTTACAGATGGTCGTGATCTGATTTCACTGCAGCATGTGTTATTTTTGGAGAGCATTGACCAGGAAGCGAGCTCTGATGTTCCAGGAAGTAGAGACGTGACAGTGAGGTCATGAAAGGGGTGATTAGACACTCAGGTACATTTATATTTACCACATTCCCAGTAAAACTCACAGCAAGATGCACTGTGTTTTAATCGGTGTCACTGCAGAGGGTTTACAATTGAGTGATCACATTACTTCTGGCTCTGGCAGGAGAAATATGTGCAGGCCTGCTCGCTCAACTGGCCAACATTTCCATATGTATTGTAGATTTTATCATTCATTTATTGTCATGCAAACAAGGTGTTAAGTGCGGAGACAACTGTACTCACAGTGACAAGTTACACATCGAATTGCTTACAGACAACTAATATATTTGCTCATTTTAGAAGCTTAACAAGTTGCATGTTGTGCTGTGCAGCTGAACAATATCAAATATGGGTTAATTGTGAATTATAGGGTACCGGCAGCTCTTTAAAAGTATTATATTCGGTTCACTCAAATGTTTTGGAGGTATTATGTTTTGCTTGTTGGGTGGCCAAGTTTCTGTTTTAGCAGTAGTGTTTTTGTTTTGAGTCTGTCGGTGTTTTGTGTCTCTTTTTGAAGGCTCTGCTTGTTCCGTTACTGAAGTGTGCAACTGTCAAATGAAACATGTTCCTCTAAGGCTTCAACTCATGGTCAGCCTGATTTCAGCTCTGTTCAGCTATCCATATATAAGTCAAGTTCCTGTTGACGGAAGAAACGGGTAGAAAAAAGTACTGACAAAAATGATCAACATGTCAATGAGTTAATGTACCTGATAAAGTTTTTTAGATCTTGTTCATTATCCACCATTTTTTTAAAACTCTGAATGAGGTATTAAATTGCAGTGGGAGTAAAAAAAAAAGTGTTAAAAGTTCTGAATTTAATTTGGTGAGGACTACAGAAAATCTCGTGTCTTTCAGCTTTTGTCTGGGACAGGAGTATTTGTTATTCAAGTCTCAACCCACTTTTTCTGATGAATTTGACTTTCCTCTTTTCCTCTTCTGTGTAGACATGTTGAGAAAACTGCATGTGAAGTATGAGCAGATGTTAAAGTCAAAGAGGTAGTTGGTCTGACAATGTACTGAATAGACAAACTAAGCAACATAGGGTTTTGTGGTCAGTCGAATTTCTGAAGAGGTGTTACAGCTTCTACACTTTCAGTTTTAGCTTGTAGCCTCCTTACTTAATTGTTTCTGTGTTATATCACATTTTAATTAGCCACTTGATCATTCTTCACAGTTATTGATTGACGGCCTTAATTGACATTGATTCATTTAATGAGGAGCGTGTATGTTGATCGTTGTCGTCATTGTATTGTCTTTAATGGAACAGATGCTTTTACAGCTGACCGACTGTGTTGAGGATTAATGCAGTTTTTTGGCATCTGGCAAGTCACACTAATTTGTCCTAATTAAAAAAAAAAAAAAACAAGTGGTGCCATTCCTATTATTTCCTCATTTGTCATAAAAGATAGACGAGATGACATCACCCAGGGAGAGATATGTTGCATAGTTTTTAGTCATGTGAGAAGCAAGTTATGTCATATACTGGCTGAGTGTAAGCTTTCATTCAGTAGTAGTACTTGTTTTAAAGTCCTCAGTCACATGGTGCACACAGCGTTTGCTTGCATCGACACACATGCTGCTGTAATCGTATTAAAGCCTTTGGTGTGTGGGAATTCCAGACTCTGGCAAACATTTTCCCTCATCATTACCAAGCCTCTGACACTTAAAGACCTGTGAAAGTTGTCTTACCAGCTCCACATAGTCACGTTATGTGTTACACTGGTATTGGGTGTGTCTGAACTGAATTCTTGAATCTACTGAATATCTGCTTGACCTGTTCTGTCCAATTTACTTATGCAGCCAAACCATGCTTAACATTTGCTCAAGGAAAAATTTGTCAAATCATGATTGTGATGGTTACAATTTGTGCAATAGTTATATAGGAACATGTAGCCCACTGTTGCTCTGTATTACACAGTTATTACAAGAATTTAAGCAAGATATGTAGGAAGGTAAATAATGCACTAACTGCACAGTCACATGCAGAACCTCTGTCTAACGTTGCTTTGGTGTTGGTAAAATGTTGAGCTTTAGGGCGCCCCTATAGCGCACCTGGTTGAGCAGGTGACCCATGTACAGGGGCTATAGTTCCCTGGTGCGGCATTCGTGACTTCGATTCCCTGCAATTCTTCTCCGCCCTTTCCTATCTCACTCACTGTCCTGACTAATAAAGGCAAAAACGGCAGAAAAACAATCTTTAAAAAAAAAAAAAAAAAAGATGTTGAGCTTTAAATCAGAATCTGCACCAGTGCCTCCATTGCTTATAGTAAAAAGCTACTTTTTTATTGGTCAAATTGGAATAATAATAATAAATTTAATACCGAATACACCAAATGGCTTCATTTATCAAGTAGACTGTTGACAATGACGAGACTGGCAGGAAATGATTGGAGAGGACGAAATGCATGACACACCACATACGTTACCTTTATGTGGTGTGTGTCACCAGTTGTCCATCAGGTATTCATTAGTACCATGAATGAATGACCCCTCTGCTTTTTAAGAGATTTGTCTACTGTGTAACCTCAAAACAAATGTTTATCTCTGTGGTTTTCCTGCAAAATCACAGCTTCTGTAAGACATAGGGATTCTGTACAGTAATGGTGCTGTGGTTTGCTGTATGTACTACAGCATATTGTAAAAAACCTGAGCATAGTTGTCATGTGCAAGGTCACGACTACACAATATTAGCATGAAAAAGGCCTTTTCAAAAGATGTAGGGTGCCAGACACAACAGTTGATTGCTTCATCCTGTGAACTGTATCGTATGTGACTGTAATCAATACCACTTTTCGAACATCTCATGGTCCTGACAAATTGTCTAGCCTATCAAGAAGCTAGTTTTACCTTCTCTTGCATTGTGTGATAGCTTCAGCAGCGTGGTTGTGACATTGACCAGTGGGGCACTGAGGCACTCTTTCACATAAAATGTGGAGAAGTAACTGGGTTAAAGGGTAGACAAACCATGCTGTTCTCTACAGACGGCTCCAAAATCGTTTATAGTCTGGAAAAGTATTTTTGTAAATTCAGTGAAAATGAAACCAGTAATGTCATTACGATGGGAATACAACTGCATCTGCATGATCCTGTATATTAAATTGAAGGCTTTAAAATGTAATGCTGGCTTTGACACAAAATGTACACTGATGGGCAAATAGTGACTGTCAGACTAACAGTTTGGTTTGTAAATGTTACGTATAAAAATGGTATCTATCTGTATCTAAGTTGTAGTAGTTTTCTCATTTTGCCAAGTGAATGTTTACATTTTCAAGGGTTGTATTTAAACGTTGTATCTGCCAGTGGATGATACAAGGAAGCATAAAAATATATTGATTCCAGTACAGGACAAACCTAAAGCTCTCAGCAATCAGCTAGAAATAATATGTGCGTATGGCAGTATCCAAGTTTACCCGTGTGCTTCTGCTACTGTCCTCAGTAGTCTGTGCTCTGCCCAATTGGCCCAACTCGTTTGTCTGTTGTTTATCACCATAGATCATATTGTCAAAATGCCACAGCCATGTCCAACAGGCACCATATCTATGTCAATGACAGCTACCCCAAGTGATTCATATTTAGGGCTGGACCCCAATAGCCGAGTATTCGTTCGCTGTGCTGGAATCGGGATATCAAACTTGATCCTCACCGCCACAGAAACGGTGCCGTCACTGCTAACCTAAACACAGAAACTGGTCATAGAAGCCAAATGTGGCCTGTACGTCACGCCCACTCCGGCCCGTAGGAGCCTCACCGCACCATGCACGAAACACCCCCAAATATTTGGGATATTCGTCATTAATTGTGACCGAATCAAAAATTGCTGCTCAGACCAGCCCTATTAATTTTGAGATAAAAGTGGATAATGAGACAGATTGGTTCAGTGTATTTAATCACAGGTATAAAACAACAATGTTCTGTTGATTTTGGTCTTAATTCTTCTCTGATTTTTTTTCTTTTTCTCCTTAAAGGAATGCATTCTATCAGGCATCATGTCAGTGAAGGGGAAGAAGGTTCTGCACATGGACCGCAACTCCTACTACGGCGCTGAGAGTGCCTCCATCACACCTCTGGAAGATGTAAGTGGACCACTAACTCCAGTGGTTTGACTTTTTTACACTGGGGAGGTCAGACTGGTGGGATGTGGGAAGTTTGATAAACATATATTTTATATCCTGGGACTAATAATTTCTTCTTCTTTTTTAAAAAAAAAAACATGGATTAACCTTGTTTTGGGAAAAAAAAAACATGTCTTTTACTTTTTATCCTCAGCTTAGTTGCACCTTTTTGTGAAATAGTATCTGGTGAAATTAAGGCTAATTTATTACAGTAAGCTCAGCTGTAACTGACTGTGATTTAAGTCTGGTTCTGTCTCTCCTACAGCTCTACAAGCGTTTCAACCTTCCTGGCAAGCCTCCTGAGTCAATGGGAAAAGGCCGGGACTGGAATGTGGACCTCATCCCAAAATTTCTCATGGCCAACGGTATCCCTTAAATCACTCACGTTTTAATAACACATGCAGATTGAAGTTGTCACTTAACCATCTGAACTCTGTGGGCTCATTTTTCTAAGCAATATAAAGTCCTGCACCTCTGTGGAAACTGATATTTTGTACACTTTCGTTATTTCTGCAGTTACTTACTGGCTTTTAAGCTGTTAGCTAACGCTATGCTAGATTGGCATAACTACAACGATGCTATTGCTAACACAAACAGACAGGGAGTAGCTTTAGCTAGGTTAGCACAACTTTAGCAATGCAACGTAAATGAATAGCATGACCGATGCAATGAATCACGCGTCAGTCGTCCTGACACATGCCAAAGACAGTTAAAGTGAACCAGGAGACATACTGAGTCATGGTTAATGTCACAACGTGGTTCTGAACTTATCTGTCAGTAGCTCTGTTCAGCCCACTCCCGTGATGCTGTCTGGCTGTAGCTTCCTCATGCACTGTGAGAAGACAGCGGTGAGGACTGAAGGACTGAATGGAGTCAGAGCTCCAGCACAGTAACGAACGGTGCAACGTTTGAATAGTTCTTTTTTTTTTTTTTTTTTCTCGCAGCGGGCAGTTAGAATAGGTTAGAATAGAATAGAACAGAATAGAACTTTATTGATCCCTTTGGTGGAAACCTCAGGGAAATTGTTGAAAGTTAACTGAAAGTTACGCTTGGATGCTGCCTTTTCAAATGAGTGTGTAAGTTTGATGGACCGCTTCACAACGTGGACATATGGCTTTCGTCTTGTCGACTTGTTTTTCTCCTTTTTTGGAGTTCACCAGGAAACCAAAGTGATCCCAAACGGGTGATTTAATGACACCGGAGCGTCTTCCAGCTCTGCCTTGATGTTGTTGTTGTTGTTGTTGTTAGCATTAGCCATCCCATTCACTAGCCATACAGACTGGGCTTATAATGAAGTGCCGACAGAAGAATAAACGGGCCGTCACATCCTGTGATCCAGTGGAAACTCCTACTTGTTTTTAGCTCTGCAATACTGCGCAACTGTGAGCCGGTCCACTGCAACTATAGGCACCATGAGATTTAAAGTTTCGCAATTTAAACAATTCTGTACATTGGCCATTCTTAGTAGTCTTAAAAATTTCGTATCATGGTACATCTCTGTACCGAACCAAAAGGGCCCATACCGAACGGTTCGGTACGAATACATGTATTGTTACAGCCCTAGTTACTCTACGTACTATATTTTACTCATATTTTTCATTTGTTTCTGTACTTGTCTCCTCTCTGCTCTTTGTACACACAGCCTGTAAGACTTCTCAGTTGTGTTGGCTAAGCACAGAATTTTTAATTTTTTTAAGGTCTCTGTAATTTACACTTTCTTAAATTTTACTGGTTTCTCAGCAAAGAAACACCATAGGTCAAGTTGTGTCACATGTTTAAGATATCCTCATGTAGTAGCAAAAACCACAAGTGATGCCCATCTGCAGCTGAAAAGGATCAATAAAGGAGCTACAATTACAAGCTTGTTAATACTTTAAAACGCTATGCAGTAAATGGTGAGTGCTGTATTGGCCTCATGTTGGTTATTGTGACAGTAACCCTGATGTTTGTATCTCCTTACTTCAGGTCAACTGGTCCGCATGCTGCTGATCACACAGGTGACCCGCTACCTGGATTTCAAAGTGATTGAAGGCAGTTATGTGTACAAGGGTGGAAAAATCTATAAAGTCCCCTCTACTGAGACTGAGGCTCTGGCATCTAGTAAGTCTTGTAATGTACTCAACATTTTGGTGTACAGTGTGCTTTTTAGTCATGCTATGCTGCTGTTGGTTCGGAGTTACTTAATGTCCAGTGTCTCCCTTCTAAAGGTCTGATGGGATTGTTTGAGAAACGGCGCTTCAGAAAGTTCCTGATCTTCATCGCCAACTTTGACGAGAACGACCCAAAGACGATGGAGGGTGTGGACCCCCAAAAGACAACGATGAGGGCCATTTTCCAGAAGTTTAGCCTGGGCCAGGAAGTCATCGACTTCACCGGCCACTCCCTTGCACTCTACCGCACAGACGAGTCAGTAGTTTTCGTAGATGTTTAATAAGTGTTTTCTTTTTAATGTCCATCGTGCTATATCCCCTCCTCTCAAGCATTTTAAACTTGTGCTGTTTATAGAGTTTTAATTGTCCTTTTTTCCCTGCACTCAGTTACCTGGATCAACCTTGCATTGACGCGATAAACAGGATAAAGCTGTACAGCGAGTCTCTGGCCAGATATGGCAAGAGCCCATACCTCTACCCTCTGTACGGCCTGGGAGAGCTGCCACAAGGCTTTGCCAGGTAGGGGAATGTGTATTCATTATAAATATATTTCATATTTGTATGTATCAGTGCATTTAGCGTACAGTGTACATCAATTAACCATGTAATAATGAGATTAGGCTCATGCTCTCTTGAGAGAAGTTAAGTCAGTTATCAGGCTGTTATTCGTAAATTTCCCCGGTGAGGGATCAATAACGTTATCTCACGCTGTTTTAAAAAACACATAAGGTGCTGCCTGTTTAATTGTTTGTCCTCTATAGGCTTTGTATGTATTCAATATCAGCTTGAGTATCAATGTAGGCGTTTATTTTTCAATGTAGTTTAGTCACAAATGTAAACTAATATTACCGTGTGACCTGAGCCCCATCTGCTACCCTCTGTTCACTCCGTGCCATTGGCTGTACAGGCCAATAACTGAATAAGTGTCATACTCAAGAACTCTGAAAAACTCGAGGATTCTCAGACAAGTTCTAAAGCGCCATTTCCTTCCCAGTGCACCTCACAGTGTGCATGCCGGTTTTTAGCCTATATTTGTCTACATCATGGAAATAAAGTAAAGTGATTTAGCTGCTGTAGAGTTTCTGTGTTAAATGAGGTATACCTTTTCATTCTATATGTGAATACCGTGGGTACGTGTAATTTGTTTGTCTTTGGATAATGAAAAGCAACATCTCGCATTGTGATTCAAGAACTACAAAATCATTGCCAGAATCTACTGATTGAAGGTATCAGGTGTGAAGATGACCTTGTTTTTTTGAATGTGTCGAAATGTGATTCACTTCCAGACTGAGTGCTATCTACGGGGGGACCTACATGTTGAACAAGCCCATAGAAGAGATCGTGGTGGAGAATGGGAAGGTGGTGGGAGTCAAGTCTGAGGGGGAGGTGAGCACGCTGGCCTCAACACTCTTCTTGTTCTTTCAGTCTGTAAACTGGGCATTTAGCCCTCCATCCTCTGAGTAAAAAAGTAAAAGTTTGGTAAAGTTTATGCAGAACACCACTCTGTGTTATTTGTGATTCGTGTTATTTCGACTCCTTGAACTTGAGCTATTTTCTAATGTACAAACCGTCGTCCCACCTTGAAGTCTTTGTATCAAGGGTCCAAAGTGGTAACGGCAAATAACAGACCATCAGTTCACGGAGCAGCTGGTTTTCCTGTGATCTCGAACAACTATCGACAGTGACTTTTAGAATCAAAATTTGAGTCATAAATGAACTATTTAACTTTGAAGTACAAGTTCTGCAGTCTAGACACTACATACTATTTTCTTAATACCATATTAACATTTCCTTTGACTCCTTGGCTATGTTTGTCCCCCACAGATTGCAAGGTGCAAGCAGCTGATTTGCGACCCCAGCTACATGATGGATCGTGCCTCCAAAGTGGGTCAGGTGATCAGAGTCATCTGCATCCTGAGTCATCCCATCAGCAACACTGGCGATATCAACTCTTGCCAAATCATCATCCCCCAGAACCAGGTCAACAGGAAGCACGGTGAGTGCACACGGAAGGTGATTAGATAGCCTAGACGTTATAGTTAATAAAAGTAGTCAGATTAGTGAATAATAAAAACGGTTGTTTGCAGCCTTAATGTGTGAAATCCTGTATGAGCGCCTTGGTTTTAACCATCTGAAGCCCGGGCTGTTTCTGGGCGTTTTTTGTTTTGGTCACTGTTTCATTTCCTGTGGCTTCATTTTTCACTGCAATATAAAATGCTGCACCTCTATGGAAACTGAAGAACTATCACTAGAGGCAGAGAGAAGTCTGAATGTTTTTGCTTTTTACAGAATCTTCTGTTTATTTTCTGCAATTCTTTTTAGGTGATAACATAAAATAACAATAAAAAAGGATCTTTTCCACATTTAAACTGCTAGACATTAACTTTATTTTTTTTGTTTTTTCTCTTTTCAGACATCTACGTTTGTATGATCTCCTTTGCTCACAACGTGGCAGCACAGGGTAAATATATTGCCATTGTCAGCACCACAGTGGAGACGAGCGACCCTGAGAAAGAGATCAAGCCGGCCCTGGACTTACTGGAGCCCATTGAGCAGAAGTTTGTCAGCGTTAGCGACCAGTATGGACCCACTGACATGGGCACTGACAGCCAGGTATGAACAGACAGACCTGTTGAAACATGTCCTACCACTGTGAACTGTCACACAATCAAGAGGAGGATCAGTGCTGTTAGTGGGTTTCCTCTGTTTTGGATTTTATCAGGTGTACCAGCAGTCATTTTAGGACTAGCCTCAACTAAAAGGTATTATCTAAAAGAAACGTGCACTGCGACTCTTTCAGTGTACATCTGGCCACAGTGGGTTTATTACAGAATGTACCATCATGATGGCTAGTAAACACTAGCATGAACTGACTGCATGTTTTCAGCCCTGCACATTAATGCTCTGGCTCCTGTGCTAGCTAACATTAGCTTAGGAGTCAAAGTGAGAGTGAGCGCTCTCAGAAGGAACAATTGAGATGTCAGATGCCTTTAACCTTAACCCTGAGATGCCATTAAGCAGCCGTTTGTTGTTACCCCAACAGAAACACTGCATTACACTGAACAGAATGTGACGTTTAAAATATGGTAATAAGGATAGGTTAGGTGTCCCAGTACCTTAGTTTCTAATCACTAAAGCTCCTCTCAGACATGTGCTGCGTTCAGTTCATCTGATGGCAGCTGAACAGGTCAGCTTCATGTCTGAATGTGCACCCTGGCCACATTTCTGTCATTAACAAGCTTACGAGGTCAGACCTGGTAACATTTTCTTATCCGCTTGCATTTTCTTGTGCAAAACCAAATGCAACCTAACATCTGCCCTGAACACCTGGAACCAAGATTTCTCAGTGACAAAGATGCTTCCCATCTTGCTAGTATCCAACAAACATGTGTTGTAGCTCACTGAAGCTGATAATGATGACGTTCTGTTGTCAGTATTTGTTATGGGCGACAAGATGGCAGTCTAGCTTTCCTCATGCGATCCCTTAAAGTTGTGCACACCATTAACTTCATCAGTGCCTCTGTATACAATCACAAACTATTTCTGAATGTGCTGATCGTGGGTTTGGGTGGTGACAAGGGGTCCGCAGTCAAGTGACAGATTGTCTGAAACGAATTCTTAGAGAACAAATGCTGAAGCTGTGGAGCTGAAGTGCCTGGCTCCAGCACGAACTGACATCTCAGCATCCAACAAGCCAAAAGCCCATTCTCGCCTTTCTCTTGTCATCTATGCCATTGTGTCATCTGAATAAAGCTGCATTTTAAGGCAGCCTTTTAGTCCCTGGTCAAAGAAGTGTCTGTGTGCTGGAGATGTAATCCCAGTGTCGTCCTTTAAACCTACACCTGACCAGTGTGCAGATTAACTCAATGGACAGCTCAAACACATTTTGTCCACAACTGGCAACACATACCCTTTTCAAACCAAAGCAATAGATTTTCATTTTAACCTTTTCTACAAGTCAGATGAAGACCATTTCCATGCTGCGTTCATGTTTTTGTTCAGTGTAGTTTTATGCATCTTTCATTTATTGACTTGAACATCCTTTGAGAATGCAAACTACATCTCATCTAAAGTATACTTAATATCTGACTTCTTCCTCCTCTAGATCTTCATCTCCCGTACTTATGATGCAACGACTCACTTTGAGACCACCTGTGATGACATCAAGGACATCTACCGGAGGATGACAGGCTCAGAATTTGACTTTGCCGAAATGGAGCGCAAGAAGCAGGATATCTTCGGCGACGCCGCAGAGTAGAGGCGACAGTCCGCAACACTCCTGAACATCAAAGACAAGGCTGCCGACAACTGAAATCTTACAAAAAATAGAAAACCTACACACATATGTACACACCAACGGGCCAGCAGATTATCCAAGTATAATGTTTGCCCATTGGAGAAGTTCATGATATATAGAGAGATATGATATAGTATTGTTGGATAGGGTTCAGGGAGGGAGCTATGCTTTTCCAGATCACATTCAGGAGGATGTTGCACTAAACACTGGTTATGCCTGATAGACAATAACGCCCTACATTCTTCTGATTCATTGTGTTAAGAATGATGCATAGTCCAAAGATGCCAAATCAAGTGATAATTCATAATCAGTATCTTGAAAAGAGTGTCCTGGGATGGGATGGGGGATGGGGGGAGGGATTTTTCTGTCATTGTGTAAAAGGTTCTGGAAGACATACATCATCTACACATGCGACACATCGTCTCTGCGGGTATTTTTCCACGTCAGCTTAAAAGAGAAGTGGCTTGGCTTTGTGCATCTGTGTTAAATCATACGAGTACCTGGGTGTTCCTCATAGGTTGTGGCAGCTGGAGCACCTTCAGGCCAGCAGCAGCACACAGCCGTGCAGAGCGGCCCCTCCGCTGTCACATCTTATGTCAGATTTTGTGCAACAAAGTGGTCTAGCGTTTTTTTTTGGCTTGGACTTTTGGTGTATTTTTTTAATTTTTAAACCCCAGTATTGTCAGATGGTAAATTGTAAGCCAGGCCACAGCAGCAAGTGTAGTTCAGCATAAACTACCTGAACCTGTTTTCAACAGCTTGAGTTACTACGATGCATCAGAGGAGATATATTAGTTCCCGTATTATGCAAAACGATGGAAGACCCGAGCATTAACAGCAGATTTATGGCGAATGTGGTTCACTGTAATTGCTTAAGAAGGACCAAATGTGTACTGCAGCAGTATTGAACTGATTAGAGCCCTGTGATGTCTTCTGTTTTGAACAACTGTAAAAAAATAAAAATAAATCTTGGGCTCAAATGATTTCTGTACTGCAAAGTAAAAAAAAAAAAAAAGTCAAAAAACAAAATTGTGTTTAATTTATTCATTTTTTGTGTTTTCAGTTGTGTTGGTGTGCAACAGAAGTGAAACCTTTTACAGTTTTCCAGGGTTCCAGTTTGATTCATAAAACACAGTCACACTTTTTTTTTGCAGTTTTACTTCTTTGCTGTGATTCTAAAACTCAGCGTGAGAAATGACGCTGCAGTCTGGACTAGACGGTGAATCCATTAGACAGCATGTTTAATAGGTGTCAGACATTTACATCCTGTGATCACCACAGAGCATGGTGTAAAGGAAAAGTAATTTATGCCAACCTCTGTTTTAAAGTGAATTTCTATTTGAACTGCAAGTTTCTTTTGGCCGGAAAGAACAACGTTATAGAGTGTAGTAGGAAGCCTCAACTGTCCCCACTGCAAGAATGACAGTGAGAGACCCAGAAGGATCCAAGCATCACCACCAAGACCATCTGGATGACTGAGCAGGTCTGGTAGCAACATCTCAAGACAGACACTCCACTGGTCTTCATGGATGCTGACCACGGAGGACTACTTCTTCAAGACAGGCACAGAAAAGCTCAGTTTGACAATTTGGTCATTAGTTCTGCGGTCAGGTGAGATGAAAATGTAGATGTTTGGACTCAGGTGGTCAAACATGGTGTTGGGAGGGCAATGATCTGATTTGGAACATACATCCATCATCTATACACCGCTTAATCCTCACTAGGGTCATGGGGGGCTGGAATCTATCCCAGCTGACTCAGGGTGAAGGCAGGTTCACCTGGACAGGTAACCAGTCTATCACAGGGCTACACTTAGAGACAGACAACCAAGCACACTCACATTCACACCTACGGACAATTTACAATCACCAATTAACCTCAACATGTTTTTGGACTGTGTGGGAGGAAGCTGGAGAACCCACGCTGCACGGGCAGCACTCCACGCAGGAAGACCTCGGTGCCCCCACCAGAATGCAAACCAGCGACCTTCTTGCTGCGAGGCAACAGTGCTAACCACTGAACCACCTTGCAGCCCATGGAACACACAGCTCAAGGGAAATATATTGGAACCATGTTGGAGTGGCCCATCCAGAATCCAGCCCTGAATTCAACAGAATCAGGGAGGAACTAAAGACCAGAGTGATGAAGAGGAATCCTTCTGACCTGCTGAGATCATTACAGAACAGGTGTGGAGAACAGTCTTAGAGGAGACTTGCAGAAAGACTGTTATCAGTTCTAGCACCTGTTTGACTGCTGTAGTGACAAGTAAAGGTTTTGACATTGATTACTGCTGCATTTTAGATAAAAACAAACGAATTTATCATGAACATCTCTGACACAATGCCTTGTCGCATTTTGTCACTTGTTAATGTCATTTACAGCCATAAAAAACAATGAACCCTCACTATAAATCTACATTTTGGAATGGCTGTGAATCATTCTGGGCTTAACTAACAGTGTAACTGTCAGACTAACCGTGAAGCAGAGAAATACCACGACTGCGCAGGAAACGTCCCCCTGCAGACTACAACTCCCACAATTCCGTGCTGCCTCTACGTTGTTGTGTTGTGCGCGTGTCCCTCAGCTATGTGTGTCTGCAGCGTGTTTCCCGTTAAACATGGAGGTGACAGCAGCACGCCGCTCGTTTCTTTGCGATATCGGTGAGCACCGACACGTAGCAGCTAATGCTAGCTAACAGCTAATGTTAGCTAGCAGCTCCGCGCGCTCGGCTTCGTTAACCTTAAGGCCAGCCATGACGGTAACACACCTGCAGATAGGAGAGTCCAGGTAGACGAACTGCATCAAAGCAGGTGTTATTTCACAGTGTTTACAGGTAGAACTTCGTATTGAGGTTGTCTTTGTAAAACTCTGCCAGGGTAAACACACCTGTGGCCAATATGAAGTACACGTACACGTTGCTAAGTAGCTAATAATTCAGCTGTATAACATCCAGTGATGATCACCATCTCATGCATGAACTATTTAAAAAAAAGAGTTTATCAATACTCCCAAATAAGATTTAAAACCAATTTATTTATTTTTTCTATATCTAACATTTTGTAGTGGACTTTGCACATCATTTGTTTAAAATATACTTTAAAAGGAAAATATTGCAGGTAAATAGGGAACAAACAAACACAGTGTAACTTCCCTACTTGATAAGTTTCAGTAAAAAGAATATTTTGTGTATTACAAATTTTCCAAAAAGTTTAAATATGCAATTGAGGTATTGGTTTGTTAATAATGCACACATTTACATACATTTCCAGGGCAGAAATCATCAAAAAATTTGGATAATATCTTGTTCAACATTCTTGTAATTCTTTAATTTTGACAGCATGTTAGGGTTAAAATTTTTACAGAGAGAATTTAGGATTTCTCCTTTTTGACTGTAACTCTAATAATATGTAAGCAATGATATGTCAACACCCAGAAAAAGTATTTTGCCATTTTATAGTTATAAAATCTTCCGTACACCAGGCTGTGCATGATATATGAACAAACCTTTTGGTGCAAACCTTCAGAATACAGACAGAAAAAACTGCAGCGTTCAGTGTATATCAGAGCTACTGAAGTGGAGATGTCTGGATCACAGTGTGGGAAAACACAATCCATACATTTTTACCAGTAACATTCCTCAGAGGTGACTATGAAACCTTTTGTTGCCGTATTATCAGCTCAGTAATTATATTAAAATATCTATGAACTAATGTGAATGCACTGATGGACACACGGGGCCCAATGAGCAGAATATAACCAATGATTATGTTGCGTTTTTACTTATGAAAATATGACAAAAGCCATATGGATTTTTAAAAAAAGTGTAAGTAATCCTCCACTGTAGTTAATCAGAGATTTCTTTAACCTGTATGTTTCTTGTAGATTTTAAGGATTCAGCAGATATTCCACAGGTGGCAGACATATGTCCACCTTTATGATGCAGTTTATATTAAAAATGCTGGTGATCATATAGAATTCTGGAGAAGGCTTGGGAGATTGTTCAGTCCTGGTTTGGCATAATTATTGTGAATAATGTAGTGTTAGAGGAAGTTTAAATAACTGTCCAGTGTCTTGGATGCTGTGCATGAAAGGGTTAAATGATTCCATTACAACTGTTATTAACACTATAGGCATCCGAGTTGTAATACTTTTTCACAGCCAGTAGAGCTAGGCTAGGATAAAATGTGAAGTTTGTAAGAGTAAAATTTAGTTTTTATTATATTTTGGTGTACAGACAAGTTTTTAAGTATACTATACAGAATATTAATGTACAAAACAAAACTTGTGCAAGTAATAGTGTAAAAAAAAACATAATAGAAAGAATGCTTTCATTGTGCTGTTATGGAGCTTTATCACAGCAGACATTTTTTACAGACATGTCACGGCAGGAAAAGCACATGTGCAGTTGATTTCATAGAAACTATTAAGGTGAGCTAAATCCAGGCTAGTGTTGTACATGCTGGCTCTTTGTCATGGCTTACTGCAGGGGTGTCCAATCCTGGTCCTCGAGGGCCACAGTCCTGCATGTTTTAGATGTGTTCCTCTTCCAACACACCTGATTCAAATGATCAGCTCATCATCAAGCTCTGCAGAAGCCTGATACTGATCCTGATCATTTGGATCAGGTGTGTTGGAAACATCTAAAACATGCAGGACTGTGGCCCTGGAGGACCAGGATTGGACACCCCTGGCTTACTGGGACGCGTGATGGGACTGAGCCTTCTTTCTTGACTCCTGTGTTGCATGTGCTTTTGCTGCTATGACAAAAATGTGAAAAAGTCAGCTGTGAAAAAGCTCTATTGTTGTTAATGTGTGTGTAAGGCTTCTGGGCAGACCGGACCGCCCTGCATGAAGCGGCGTCCCATGGCAGGGCCCTGCAGTTAAAGCAGCTGATAGAAAGTGGAGCTTCTGTCAACATGGTGACGGTGGATAACATCACTCCCCTCCATGAAGCCTGCATACAGGCTCACCCCAACTGTGCCCGGCTGCTGCTGGAGGCTGGAGCCCAGGTGAGACGAAGCTCCATGTACAGCCACACCTGACGAAAGGAAAACCTTAAAAAATGGGTTGGGATGCCTTATCACTACCACAGACACAAAGTGATGCAATCTAATACAGAATAAATAAAGCAGCGTGCAGTTTGTGAAGCAACCCACAGTATGAGGAAGGATTTGAGTCAATACCTCTCTGACACAGTCAGATATGAAATATGTAGACTGTACATGTGTTCACATTGTGATCCTGGCAGGTGTCACATGTGCTGCTGAAATACTGCAAGGAGTATGTAGGAATTCTTTCTCTGGTTCTTCCAGGTGGATGTTCGCACCATCCACGGCAGCACTCCTCTGTGTAACGCCTGTGCTTCTGGCAGCCTGGAGTGTGCCAAGCTGCTGCTCAAGTATGGAGCCAAAGTGAACCCGTCACTCACCGCTCTCACTGCGTCGCCGCTCCACGAGGCCTGCATACAAGGTGAGCCCTCAGCAGCACCAAGACGGGCTCCCCTCAGTCATACCCCACCAGATACCTCGACTGTGATGAAACGTTGCATTCCTCTCAGGTAATCCCGAAGTCGTGAGGTTGATGATCGCCAGTGGTGCCAAACTGGAGGCGTTCGATGTCCACTTTGGCCCTCCTCTTCACATAGCATGCGCTAAAGGCCGTGTGGATTGTGTCAAGGAGCTGCTCAGTGCAGGTCAGAAAAAAGACTACAGATCAGAAAGTGTGTTAGAGCCAATAAAATACCTGACAGTTGTTGAAGGAGTGCATTGATCTTTGATTCTGAGAAACTATCAACAGGAAAAAGAAAAATACAGCATGAAGCTAAAAACACATGCCTGAAAATGCAACGTTGTTTTGGAAAGGGTTCCACCTTCTGATTATTTTCAGCTGTGATGAGTTAAACATGTCTAAACTCATTTGTTCTTCTTGCAGGTGCCAATGTGAATTCAGTGAAGTTCCACGAGACAGCTCTGCACCATGCTGCTCGAGTCCACATGGTAGAAATGATCGAGTTGTTGGTGGAGTTCGGAGCCAACGTGTACGCCAGCGACAACCTGGGAAGAAAGCCTGCAGACTACGCAACTCCTGCGTCTCCCTCTTACACCTGCCTCCGTTTTTATGAAGGTACATGTCTGCTTTGCTTCTTAATTGCAGTCAAAAATGGCTGCTTTTCTCAAAAGAGTTTCAGACATCAGTTGACCTTTTTCTGCTTGTCTTATAAATCTTTATAACCAACCTCCTGACAACCTCTGCTTCCTGACAGCGAATCCTCTGAGCCTGCAGCAGCTTTGCAGAATTGCTGTGAGGATGATGCTGGGCACCAGAGCATCAGAGGCCATAGGTCAGCTGGATTTATCCCACCGCATCCACAACTACCTTCAGTACTGGGATCAGCCCGCATCACTGCAGACTGACACATGAATGGTCTGAAATACAAAACCTCAGAAAAGAAGCATCATGGACAACATGTTGACTTAAAAATGTGTCGTACAAAAGTCCTGGGCCACTTTTAGGTTTGTTGCTTTTGCATGTTGTAATGATCATACATATTTATTTATTTGTTTCTTTTTACAGCAAGAAAATCCAGCAAACATGCATACGGTGTTAAAAACACAAAACAAATCAGAACAACACGGCTTCTAGAGCAGGGATGTCGAATCCTGGTCCTCGACGGCCGCAATCCAGCAAGTTTTAGATGTGTCCCTCTTCCAACACACCTGATTCAAATGATCAGGATCGTTATCAGGCTTATGCAGAGCTTGATGATGAGCTGATCATTTGTATCAGGTGTGTTGGAAGAGGAAAACATCTAAAACATGCAGGATTGCGGCCCTCGAGGACCAGAGTTCGACACCCCTGTTCTAGAGGCTGCCGTCTGTATTTAGTGTGACACCGAGCTCATACTAAACTCTATTGGCTTTTCTGCAGTGATCTTGTAGTGTATTACACCCAGCTTCCTTCAGCGCTTCCCAGACTTCTTCTTTAGACTTGAGTTGTCTATTATTTGTTTTTTCTCTGTCCAGATGATCCCAACAGCTTCTGTAATTATCTGGTCTTCACTCTGTGCAGGTCAGTCCATCACTTTGGTATCTTGTTTGGGATCAGTGTCTTGCTGAAAAATAAACTTTTTTGCAGTCTTCCCTGAAGGATTGGCTTGATGAATCAAAAATTGTCTGTACTTTTCAGCGTTTGTAATTCCATCTATTTGGACAACAGCCCCAACACCACTGGCAGAAGGGCAGCCTCAAAACCTGACAGGCCCGCCATCATCAGCGAGGACTCTTTCTTGCTAGCCTCTCTGACTCCACTTCTCACATACTGTCCATGACTGAACCTTAGTATGTCAAACTTTGATTTATCCCTCCACAGGACACTTTTTAGTTTGTCGTTGTGCTCATCTTTGGGAGCTTTTTGACATTTCAGCCTTTAAGCCCTGTTTTCACAAAGGTGGTTTCATGGCTGCGACCATTCTAAAAAGGCCAGACTTCTCAGGACTGTATGAGGATCAACTTGGCATCCATATTGGCATCTCCTGGGACACTGACAGTTCTCTAAGCTTTCCACCAGTTATCTTTCACCTCCAGATTCTTTATTGCAGCTTGAATTTCTTGTCTTAAATATACTTTTTTTTGATGGTTTCATTTTGCGGATGCAAAATTCTGACTTGATGTTTTTAAGATGTATGTAATCTTTGGGGTCTGCATGGTGGCTCGGTGGTTAGCATCTCACAGCTGGAAAGCTAGAAGATCCCCAGTTTGGACACCCAGGATCTTTCTGCGTGGAGCCTCCATGTTCTCCCTGTGCAGCGTGGGTTCTCTCCAGGTTCCACAAGGTCCAGAAACATGCTGAGGTTAATTGGTGATTGTAAATTGTCCGTAGGTGTGAATGTGAGTGTGCTTGGTTGTCTGTCTCTAAGTGTAGCCCTGTGATAGACTGGTTACCTGTCCAGGTGAACCTGCCTTCACCCTGAGTCAGCTGGGATAGACTCCAGCCCCCCATGACCCTAGTGAGGATTAAGCGGTGTAGAGATGATGGATGGATGGATAATGGAGACGTTGCCTTATAAACATATACAAATGGATAGAGTGTGGAACCTTCTGTGGGATGGAGGGATGGATGGATGGATAATGGAGACGTTGCCTTATAAACATATACAAATGGATAGAGTGTGGAACCTTCTGTGAAGTATAATTTAAGCAAAAGCCAGAGATCCCTGTGAGTACAGTTAGACTCAGGAACATTACCATCAGCCTCAGAGACTGGGAGGTTTAATGCTCCTCCAGAGAAGGACAGACTCTGTTTACTGTGTCATTTTGGTGAAGTTGAGAATGAGGCTCCTTTAATGTTTTACTGTCCTGTATTCAAAGATATGAGGGAGGTACTTTTCAGTAAAATGTCCTCTGTTCATGCTGATTTTTTTTTTTGTTTGACAACCATGAAAAGAGTTACGTTTTAGAAGTAGATCCTTTTTCATGGCTGAATGTCTTTGCCTGGCCTGGGATTGAAGGCAACGTATGTGGTATAGGTACTGAGCAGCAGTATAATGTGTGTTTGGGTGTATTGCTGCAATGCTAGTATATTGGTGTCTTGTAAACCCATGAGGGTTCAGAACACCTGTGTGCATGACACGAAAAATAAAGAAGTTAATCAATCCTATATACATATTAGCAAGCTTCCAAGAAGTTAGTCTAAAAGTATGCAATGATCAACAGCAAGAACTAACTTGGTTTTTAATAATAATGTGGTTTTTAAAATACTATCTATATATTTACTGTATATTCTGGTTGCATCTTAACAGACTCAGAGATGCATTGTATACTCTATCCAAAACAACAATAACAACAAAAAGCTAATGGTTTTTATTATATCTTTAATATATATCACGTGACTCAGGGTTGTGTTTCAATGTAGTAGTATTCTTTATGGAGCACTGTTTATTCTGAATAATTGTTTTGCAGATAACGAACTAAATGTATAAAAACTACAAATCCCAGCCTGCTCCTGGCGGGCCAGGGATGTCACGTGACTGCAGCGGCACTAGACGGCGAGGACGCGGCTGTTTACAAACAAGTCTTGTGTCACCGCTTCTGCGTTAGCGTCGCTGATTCTGCGGGGAGGGAAACGGACAGGATGGAAATCGAACACATGCAGCCGTATTTCTTCGGAGACATCGGTGAGTGTGAAATATAGACGACGAAGCCGGTTGTTCAGACTTTCAGCCCGCTGGACGCCGGCTAACTACCGGGCTAGCAGGTCTGTAGCTAGCTGCTGGTACCGTGTGCTGTCGCCGACTGATCAGATGAATAACTAACGAGACACAATGACAGCAGGAACCTGCAGTGACGTCAACACGCTGTAAATAATACAACACACTGTGCTTGTGTAATTGCATTAAAATCGTTAAAGAGCTAGAAGGATATTGATATTGGCTAACTGCCAGCTCAACAGTGTCATAGCATGGTAGCATCCTATACGTCATCACCTGACACTGTTTACCTGGACTTCAGGTAGCAGTTGCGTCATTGTGTTTTGACGTCCATCAGCAACATTAGCATCGATCCAGAGTCAGGTTTCAGTGTGTCAGCCACAGGTGAAGCAGATCCTGTTACTCCAACCGGCGGTACACACAGAAGTAGAAGATCATTCTAGGCTCAAGTCCTCCAGCACGCTTCATACTGAGGTTAATGCTTATAGGTGTTATCAGCAGAATGTTTAAAAAGTTAAGGTGTACAGTGGCTTTCTTTAGAATATAATTTTAGTTGATGTATTTTCTTGTGGTGTGCATTTTGTATGTGAAGTCTACCTGCAAATCAACTAATAACAGCCTTTATGTAAATCAAACACTTTCAGGGGTTGTTTATATGATCGGTGTGTCGTATGTGGTTCATCAACGCACGACTGGCATGAAATCAGTGTCATTAGATAGTAGCCTCACCTTGTGCATTTTGCACCCAGAGATCCAGAGCTAAAACTGTCTTGTCAGTCATTTTAAAAATGTATATGTTCATTTATGTGTAACAGTCAAACTTTGGAATGTATTTCATGTAGTACTGCTCCATCACGTGTTTCAAACCTGTTACCCTGTGAAAATGTATTAAAGCTTGACTTTAAAGAATATATTGTGCAAACAAATCACAATATCTGTCACAAAACTGCATTTAGATATTTTCCTCAAATCATTCAGCCCTAGTTCAGATAGCTAACGTACATATTTAATCATCCTACCTTAACAACAGCGCTATGTGAACTGTGCATGACGTTACCTGTTGTGAGTGTGTGTTCAGAGTTGGATCTGCTCCCCTGCAGGCTGCTGGGTAGAGAGAACAGAGGTGCACAAGGCAGCGTCCCTCGGCCAGGCCTCCCAGCTGCAGCACCTCATCCAGAGTGGAGCTTCGGTCAACCTGGTGGCGGTGGACTCCATCACGCCGCTGCATGAGGCCTGCCTCCGTGGACAGGCCCAGTGTGTGCAGCTGCTGCTGGATGCTGGAGCTCAGGTGAACCAGGGAGACAGGCTCATATCTGCCATACCACAGGTTACATTTGTTGAGAAAATGTTGATATTTCCCAAATGTAATCCGTGGACTGTATCCACAACATTCTTATGTTCCATTTACTGAATATATAGAATTATTCAGAATTGTTGGACAAGTTGAATGTTTGAGGAAAGAATTAAAAATGGCTAAACGTTGAAGTAATTCTGTTTGTGTGATTCTGTGTCCCGTCAGGTGGATGCGAGGAATGTGGATGGAAGCACCCCGCTGTGTGATGCCTGCTCTGCTGGTAGTCTGGAGTGTGTGAGGCTCCTGCTGGATCGTGGTGCCAAGGCCAACCCTGCCCTCACCTCCCGCACAGCCTCGCCCCTCCACGAGGCCTGCGTGGGAGGTCAGGGCCTCGGTTTCATTTTTCCATCCTTAATGTTCATCACAATGAAACAAACTCAGTGACACTATCCTATTTGATTTTATTTCAGGTAACTCAGACTGTGTGGAGCTGTTGATAGCCATGGGTGCTTGTCTCGAGGCATACGACCTTTACTACGGGACCCCGCTGCATGCAGCTTGTGTTAATGAGCACATGAACTGTGTTAAAGTGCTGCTCAATGCAGGTGAGTGACTGTGCAAGAACAGGATGGAAAGTGGACCAGACTAGTTGTTGCATAATTTTAAACTTGGCTCTTGCTCGTTTGTTGACTGCTCTCACATTTTGTAGGTCATTAAGTGTGAGTGTTTAATTCCAGTTTAGCTGCTCTCTAATAATATCACCTGTGACCTGAGCTGACACTGTGGTGGCTGATACAGGCTTTCAGGAGGTCACAGCAGGTGCTTCTAGCTTGCGAGGAACACACTGTGTATACAGGGGTCCACCGTAAGGTTTTATTCAGCGTCAGTTTTTATTATTAGTAATCAAAGAAGCAGATTCTTGATATTTAAAACTGGTATACATTTACAGTAAAAAAGTAAATCTTGGCATCAAATTTAAGAATAACACAAACTCCAAAACAAAATGTAGTTCAAATACCTTTGTTTATTCATGCACGTTTTACATTTGTTCAGTTAAAAGAGAACTTTTCAGCATTTATCTTTGGTGATGTGTAACTAGTGAGGTAGTGCTGAAGGTGGGACGTTGCCTGGTGGTTACAGAGAGAACCAAAACAATTTATTAATATCATCAGAACAAAATCAGTGCAAAAAAACATTGACTTAGGCTGATAAGCTGTTGATCCTCAGTGCATCTTATATAAATGGGCATTTAATAAAGCCATTTCTGTAATTATAATTATAATAATAATAATACATTTTATTTGTAAGTGCCTCTCAGAGCACTCCAGGACGCTTTACATCACAAAAGAAAATAAAGATAGACAAGCAGTTCTAATCAGATGGGTTTCAAGAGAGAAAGTGAATTGGTATTACGCTATCTGATATTTGTGCATCAGTTTTCTACCTTCTAGGTTGCTACCAGCTAGAGTTTGTCCTTGTTTGTGGAAAAGCCAAACAGTTGCAAGTCTTGATGACTTTGTAAGCTTTTCCTTTCCTTTTCCAGAAGATCAGTGACTGAATACCAACTGTTCAAATACCAGAATCAACCCCATTCACTT